TCGTCGCGACACAAAGGAACGACGACGGACAGCGCGCGTCCTTTCCAAGCGGGAAGGATCGATCTTTGCGAAGACCCACGACCTACGGCTTGATAACTTAAATGGGAAAACCACGAACCTGGTTTCAATTTTTTTTTCTTTTTATTGTAGGAGTGGTGGCACCTTCTGTCCTCACCACTAGAAGGATGGACGCCGTGGGTCTTCTCACAAGCGTTCGGTCCCGCCTAGCGTTTGTATGTAAACTAGTCCCGACCGATCTCTAAACATCCCGGCACGGGCCTGCTAGATAAATAGTCTTACTGACGAGTCCATTAGCAGGACTGGGACGAAACACTCTCTTTTTTTCTCCTTTCTCGCTCTCACTCCACAGGCACAGTCATCACAGTAGGGAAAGACGTAAGTTTCACGCATGGAGATCAAGAGTTTCGAGGCGTTAAAGTCTGAGTTTTGAACCCTTCCAGGTTCGAGGTCCATTGAACAATGTGTATCAGGGATAAGATTACAAGTAGCATCTGGTATTTCTTCTCGTTAAGTAATATGTGTACGATACTTGACCATAGGGAGCACTATGAAAGTTGTACGAGACCTGGTAGTAGACTCCTAGCTAAGGGAGATTCAGCTTTGAAGGCGTCACCCAGGTGGAAATCGTCTTCTACGAGATAAGATTCGAACCATTTCCAGGCAACATTTCAGCCAGCAGATGGCAGATCTCATTCTTACCCGTGAGAGTGATCCAAATCCTCTCTTGTAGGAAACGATTTTCACCTGGAACGCGCATCTAGAGCCCAATTTGGACGCTGCGATATTTCTCGTATGCCTCCGACATGTAGCGATCCTTGAATTGTACAAAATGCTAAACGTAATCGCGTGACGTATTTGCCCCCGAAAAGCGTCGTAAAATTGTACGAATAGCCGTCTAAAATCTTACTGCAAAACGCGCTTTACACTTTTCACGTGTCTATGCACAAATCGTCCATCCATCCTGTGCTAAAATTATGTCAAAATCGGGGCAACTTCGTTCGCCGCCACTGTTCCAAACCGAGCGACGAACTTAAAAGGTTAAGACCCCATTGTGCCGAGCACTCGAACACGCAGTACCTCCGAAAATCCTTTGAGCGCGAAGGCTGATGTTTCCAACTAGGAGGACGATCAGCGTTCTGTTTGATGCCACTCGACCCGACAATGAGTCGCGAAGCTCTTCCGTCGAGCAGTCGGAATCCCCGCAACAACTTCAGAACGTGTTACTCAGCGCGTTGCACTTTCTAGTGCAAAGGTCGGTTTCACGCAAACTCCAACTTCCGCCGCACCTAAGAACCAGGGGTCATCCCCGTCAAATATCTCGGTACGTACGCGACCCAAAAATTGCACCAAGGAAGGATTCCGTACGAATGCTGTCAGGATCTCGAAGGATGTCGACAATTTCAAAGGAAGTCAACGATTTAATAATTCTATGAAACCTACTTTTACAGAGTATAGAAACGAGGAAGACGTTGTCAGTACTAATTAGTCTATCGAAATTTACCAGGAAAATCGTAATCCCGCAAGAAAAGGGCCAAAGTCTCTTGCATCTACTGTTCTGAGCACTTTGAAGTAAGGGGTGACGCAAGCTTTAGGAAGTATCACAGAGTATATGAAAGACGATGTTCGTGGCTGAGAAGCCACAGAGGGTAGGCGAGTGATTAACCCTTTATTTACTGAATACCTCAAAAGTTTTTAAAATGTAGGGGTTCATCTTGGTTTTATATCATCTTATTATATATTTTTTGGAGGATCATGCGATAGTGCTTTTCAAGACGAATTCATTGACCCTTAATGCATTTACCCGATTTTTATTAGAGTTTTCAAGATAGAACACTTCGAAATTTCCTGATTTTCAGTGGAAAAGTCTCGATTTAAGTGACAAGCCATAAAAGCGGTCCTACGCGGTCACTCATACTCACACTTTTCCACTGAAAGTCAGTCAATTTCGAAGTCTCGCTCTCTCGCTCTCCCTTTACAGAGCCGCCACCACAGGTATTAGTCGATTGTATTTTACGAAATAAACCCTCTAGAATCTCAATGCATCGGTCTATCACGCAGCAAGTATCACGAAAGCCACGGTGCAGGGTTTCGTAGACCACGAAATGACACGTGTTTAACAAACAATGACTGAACCGCAATTACTGAACCCTCCCTCCAAGCTTTTGGCACCTGTCATTCTACTCATTTTACCCGTTTTTACGCGGTGAATAGGAATATCATTTTCGTTTTTGGCAGATTAAGCCACCAGTGATTAAGATATAATCGAACGTCACTCGCGAATGAATTCTCCCCGAGTCGCTATTCACCCTCAGAATGAAACTCTGTCTCCTCTTCGACAGCCTGTTTTCGTCTACCCTTTAGCTTCTCGAGCACAACACGTCCAAGAGGCGCTCGCAGAATCGACGTGGCATCGTCTGATTCAAGGATACGGGCGCATAGGTGGACATACGGGACGAGGACAGTCGCTTCGGATTAATTACCAAGTGTAGCGTTATAGATAACGCATAGGAGATGCGGGAGTGGCTCGCGGGGCAAAGGGGGTAGCGCGCGATACGACGTTAAATTGAACCTTTCGTCGGGTTGATTCCTGCGGTGCCAGTAACACACACCCGGGGTACCCGCTTCCCTAAAAGCAATTACTGCTAGTGGCCATACGCGGCCGATGATGCGCGCCTGGCCGCGATGCGTGCACGTATCGGACGTGGACGGACGTCGGTGCACATAAACACACGGCAAGGACACAAAGGTGTCAGAAGCGATGTAATATCGACTACGAGCTGTCCTCTAAACCTCGATCGAGAACCTCCCGGTACTGCAGGTGTAATCTCGCGTTAATCTCGATACGAGAATCAAAATCTCCATTTACACGGCAATTTTGGTGGGGATCGGGGTCGGGAGATCCGGTTCCCGTGGAGGTTTCTAAGATTTCCCGAAGGTCGGGTTTACAATGTGGAGCGACGGAATACCGCCGCCACGAAGGAATGTTAACCGTACGATGGACACGAGGAGGTAAATAAATTAGCGGTTGACAGTTTATCCCTTCGTACCTTCGTCGAGGTGTAGCGAACGTTTTCAAACATTCACAGATAGATAGGGATAGCGGAGGAGTATGAACGAAAATAGAACACGGAGATTCGAAGCCACGATTCTTGGATCCGTAGTTGATGGATTTTCCTACGCGACCAATCGCGCAATTTATGATTCGTATTCTTATTTCACTCCTTAGTAATGAGAATGGAGATATATGTTACTCTGTAGTAGCTATGCTACTCGTACAATAGTTTTTGACGAATATGTCTGCAAAGTTTCATGTATATTGACGTCCAGCCGCCATGTTTCCTCGTCTACTGCACCGTATTTTTCACACCTACGCCACTTTCAAGGAAGATCCTCTTACGTGCGAGCATCTCGCGGCGACCCAGTAAGCTTATAGTATTCCGGGCTGAGTCGCGAGAAGCTCGGCAACCGCGGCGACACCGCGTTGAATAAAAAAAGAATCAGGCCGGAAATTGTTTGCGTCATTATATTCCCTACTTGTCAGTCAGGCTGCTTTGTTATCCAGTTATTTACTCACCTCCGTGCATCCTTATAACCAGCATTCTGCGCGCGACATTATAAGCACATATTTGAATAGAAACGTCAATATAATTAACCGTGCGCGTGTAGGCGCGCGGGAACCTGTGCTCGGGGCCCACAAATATCCTGCATAAGTATATACGCGGCGCTAATATTAACACAATTAGGTTCGTACGAGGCTCAGGCACATTATCTATGTTACGCAGTCGTTTCGTAAATACGTACGCACCGAGCTTTCATCCGAGCGTAGCCATCCGATTTTCGAGCGCGAGCTCGAGGGGATGAGGATCGAGTTTCACACAAACACTCTAATGGTTCCGGTTGTATCCCCTCAAAAGAAATCGTGATTTCATCGCGAAAATGTACCCATCCTCGGACACTTTTCGAGTCAACGTATCGAATTTTATGGACACATTGAAATCAGAGGAGGAGCAATTTCCGGTATAAATAATTACCGGTTTCGATAACTGTTACCAAAGCCATGGTTAACGATCGCGTAATTTTGGAAAGCGTTTAAACATAGCTCGAAGCATTCCCGAGAGTTCAAGAAATTGTCGATTCTACGCTTCGAGTATACAGGGTGTTCCCGGATTAAATGGCCAAACTTAAAGAATGAATTTAGGACCTAAAAGAAAAAAAATGTTTTCTCTAGAAATATCCTCGCAAACGTTTCGTTCAAGAGTTTTTGACTTTTGAAGTTACAGAATTATAAGAATAAATAATGTCCAAATGTTCGTAAAGAAAAGCATATCAATGATATTTCAGACTTAACGCAATTAGGCATCTTTGTATGGGGTGGTTCATATCTTCGATCATTAAAACGAAAAATAGTGCACGCATGCGAAGAAATTACAGACGTTCAATGTCGATCAGCCAGTCATTCTTTCACCGGTAGGTGCAATGCTTGTCTCCGAGCTAGATGTCATCAATTTGAGCAAAACATTTAATAATTGAAAAGCATTAAAAAAATTACTGAAAAGCAATTATTATTATTATTATTATTATTATTATTATTATTATAAAAAAGCAATAAAGATAAATTTATTATTTCGACATTATTAATTCTCATCATTATGTATCTTCAGAAGTAAATAGCTTCGAATCGAAACGTTCGCGAGGATATTTCTAGAGGAAATCTTTTTTAATTTTTGGAGGTTTTTGAATTCATTTTTTAAGTTTGCCCATTTAATCCGGGTACAACTAGCAGTACTTCCAATTTTTCAGTGAATTATTAGGAATCGTGCACAATTCAGTAATGCGACATAAAACATAAACTATTGTGCATGTATTGCTTATTAATAAAGCGAAAGAAACTTTTGGGACAACCTAATACTACTACCGAATTAGCTCCAACGATCCCTCGATATTCCTAAAGGTCTGCAGCGTCTGTTCTGCTGTCTCAGGTGGGATGGCTCCGCATGGAGGACCAGACGATATTGTCGATGGGTCAGCGAACGGTGACCCACTCGCCGCGGTTCCTCGCCACGCTGGAGAACGCGAGGACGAAGAATCAGAGCCAATCGAAGGACGAGGAGGAGGCCACTTCGCGGCTGCATATTCGCCAACTACGGGAAGCTGACCGAGGCTGCTACATGTGCCAACTGAATACGAAGCCCATGTTGAGCCAGCTGGGATGCGTGGATGTCCTAGGTATGCCTAATTGCGCGTTGTACCGCATTCCTACGGTTAGGTACAGTTGGCTGTTTGCGGTCGCAGAGACGTCACGCACGCACGCACGTAGCCCACGCACGCACGCACGCGCCAGTTTCGATTAGCCTGCCTCGAGAAGGGGGTGGAAAATATGCACGCCTCGGCGTCCCTGGAATACGTTTCAATGGGACCCACCAGAACGGACCGTAACGTTGCTCGTTCGCCTTCTATTCGTACCGACCTCCGCCCCTCGCGTAGCTATTCGCCGCTGCGTTATACAGGGTGGCTCCGCGAACGTGGTACGTCGCGAAATTCGTGAATCTTTATGGAAAAATAAACAGAAAACGTGTGACAGTACAGCATCTTTTTCTGTGGCCTCCGGTTCTCGAGAAAATAGGAAGCTGCTCTTATCTAATTAAATTATTAGTTTGTAGTAAGAGCATCGAATCAAATGTCCTTTGATTAGTATCCCAAAATGGTCCCGCGTTAAATGTTGAAAAAGAACTTTAATTACGATGATTTCCTATTGTACGATTTATCCGCGAACAAATGACTATAAGAACACAATCGGTACCTGCGTTTCCAGCTTTTTCCTCGATAACGGAGTCCCTTTGTTTCCCACGACGAATCGCCCCTTTTCGACCGTGCCACGTCCGTCTGAACACCCTGTACATAAGCGCGTATTTACCGCGGCTCTGTGTACCTGCTAATGCACGTCCACGTGCGCACATACACGCGATTCCGTTGTATCGTGTGGGCGCGAACACTACGGGCAGAAAGAGAATTCATCGGGAGTGTGCGTACGTCTGCCGCTGCATTCAACTCGAAAAAGCGATCGGGACCGAATGGAATGAAATTCCTTTGTAGGGAAACACAGGAAGGCTCCGTTTCCTTCCTTTTTTTTTCCACCGAACCGGAACCCCGACGCCGACTACGACCCCAACTCTGGATCCTGACCCCTGCCTGCTATACAGAATATTTGTCCAAGTTGAACGCGTGTAATTGAAATGGTCCCGGTTGTATTTCCCTCAAAAGAAACGAGATTTCATCGCGAAAATGCACCCACCACCCATGGCTCCGTAGATGGCATTTAATTTTCCTCCGGGGAGGGATCCACGCGAGGCATTTTAACCTGATTTCGATCCGGTCGGACGTGGGCCCGCCCCTAAATTCCGACGCGACGGGATAATTCATCCTCATAGAAAATACAGGGATGAATCATATCTTCCAAGAGGGGAGACCATAGAGGGACGAGCGACGAGGTAAACTGAGTCTGAATTTGATCGATTGCTTTTCTAGATTTATTGTAAAGACGAAAGAGACTTTAAGATTTCTGGGTTCGTCGAAATTGTCAAATACCATTCGTGTTTCGTTTAAAAGAAGGACCTTGCGATACTACACAACCCTTTTTAATGCTACGTAATCATATACCACTGTATATATTATGAGCATATTAATATAAACCATAAAGATTGCCTTCTCAGATTTATTGTGAAGGGTGAAGAGGCTTTAAGATTCCAAGTTTAATTGAAATCATCGAACCATTTGTGTCTTGTTTAAAAAATGCACCCTTTAATACTAAACCTATCGACATTTCATTTGGACCTGTGTATATCTACCATGATCGATTAAGTTATATTAGTTACAAAAACAAATGCCACGATAAATGTTTGATTACGTAGACTCCAATGGTCGAAATAATATTTAACCTTAGCAGAAATTTTCGAGAATATTCGTTTGGCAGTCAACGTGTCAAATGGCTGGTCTTAAAGACACTTTTTTCAATCAGGTGGACGAATATTTAACGTCATAGTAAATTCAATAATACATGAAACAACTGTATGCAATTTATATATCGTAGAGCTATACGGAAAAGTTTGAAGACGGTCATTCGACTATATATCGCTGTATAACGAACATATTAATATACACCATAGCGCAATCAATCAAATTGAGGCACAATTTAAGCTCGCTTCTCAAATAGACGACGCTCGCCTATAAACTAAGCTACGTTTCCATATTCCCCGTGTCCGTAGGATAAATACGCGCAACACACGCTTCAAAACTACAACTTCAAATTGAATTCGAAACTCCCGTCCCGGTTCCTAGGGACGCGAAACGAATTTCCAGATGTTGCGCTCGACTTTCTTACGTCGATCGTGCGCGATACATGCATGTTAGAACTCCGGGATGACGTCAACGGGGTTTAACTTCTGGGGTCATTTGGGACGACCCCCTCCCCTCGCGAACTTCAATTTTATCGGAGTCGAGTTGGGTGAATTTGTAATAGTTCCGTTGATCGAAGCACTCGAGGCACCGAGGGAACTCTGATTCTTTCGAGATATACTAAAGAGGGAAATATAGAATGAAAAAAGAGCGAAGAACAGTCACGAAATGGAAGAATTATAGCTCTTTCGAGATTGGAATTAGAGACACATTCCAGACGAAAGAGGAGGGCCTGGAATTTAACCTGAACGAATAATGGGTTTTCCTGTTCGTCAAAAGTTGTGACTATCTACGCTTTGTTCCGAAAAGCTTGGCCAAAAATGGCCGAGAAATTAACCCCGTAAAACGCACGGAGACACTCGGATAAAACAAAAGCGTGGACGACAGTCATTGTTTTCGGTGTCTACGCTCGCCAGAAAACAGAACCGACCATCTTCTTTCAGTTCCGCCAGATATACTGAGTTCCGGTACTTCGGAGGGTGAGGTTTCCGTTTTGGAGGGCGAGAACGCGACCCTCTCGTGCAACGCCTCTGGAAGACCGCCACCTCGTGTGCTCTGGCGACGCGAGAAAAGTGGTTCCATACTTATGAGGGGTCTTCACGATCCGCTGATACCAGGTAAGATATTACACTTTTATCTCGCCTCGAGAACTCTCGCGTCCGTCGTAGCCGATGACAAATAACGTTCGATTCTTTTCTTTTTATTAATTCCCGTCCCTCTACTCGAAACGTCTACCGTACTGTCCTCGAATATTGCAACTCGAGTGTCCACTGTCCTACACTCGGCTTTTCCACCGAAAATCTTTCGATCTCTCTACCGAAGGCTACCTTTATAAATAATTCCAAACAATACGAGACGCCCCGAAAGTCACCGTCGATTACGAAATGTGATAAGAATTTCATGTGCGCTATTAACTACGGATATACATAGGTGCAAGAGTGGGAGAAATCGTCGAATTGCGGGCTATGTACTTGGCGAATTGGTGATGTAATTGCACGTAGCAGAAAGATATTGAAAGTCATCGCGGACAAACTAATCCCAATTCGATGGGACGTGTTCCACCGTAATTGCTTTCGATCGGCACATCACGTAGATCTCCGCGAATTTACGACGTCTTCATGTTCCGCTAAGCGGATCCTGATGGCGAATCGTCTCGCGTAGACACCTTGGATAATTAGTTCTCGAAACTGTGGCAAATGTCCGATTCGAATTTTAATTACGATTCGCTCGAGCAACCTCCACGGCTAAACGGCGATATTTCCTTAATGGTAATTGTCTATTCATGGAAGCGAAACGATACCTTCTCGGTAATCGATCTATCTTAAGGCGATAGTTTTCTTTTTCGGGGAAAGTTTCGGATCGGGAAAAGCGTCAGCCCTTCGTCGTTCGGTGGATTTGTCGCGCGATTGGACAGGAAATTCGTTAATTAGACGAAATATTAATGGAACTGATTCCCTCTGGCTGGTATTGATAAATCGATACGCAATATTTTGGGGCAGAGTCGCCGTTTGTAACAAAAGTATACGCGGACTGGGAGCCCGTTAGCCGTCAACGCGAATAATGAATCTCCAATTTTCGATGGATCTCATTAGGCGCCTGACACGTTTTATCGGAATCGCAGCGATGATTTATGTCGTTCGATAATAATGTAGTTCATTTGCGTTTCGTCTATTACGAGAACAGTCGCCGGTGCGCACAGTGAAACGTTACTAATGCTAGTGACACTATTCTAACGGTCGTATAAAATATTTTCATTCAAAGCTCCTGTCGAACGGTAGAGACTAAAAGTAGATTACATATTTTCGGCGAAATTCCTAGGGTACGATAACGAATGGCTACTATTAAGAATCGTGTCGTTATTATGAGTTTTAATTACGAAGGTTCGAGTTCGTATGACTTGGCCATAGCACCTGAGGTACTAAGCTTGCATTTGTTCCTTCTTTATATTCCCGTAATTCTTGCTTTATATTACTTTATAGGCGTAGGTTTTCTTCATCAATCTCGCATTAGGAATGCCAGTAATCTGTTGTGACTGACGACTGTCGTTATTATTTCCTATATAAAATTGTGATGGCACCTCCTGTTCCTGCCACTAAAGGGACAACCACGTATTTACGCGTTTCTCACATGTGCTCGGTCCCGCCTAACATTCATATATAAGTCATTCCCGATCGACCTCCAAACATCCCGGCACTATCAAGCCCAGGACGAAACGCTTCCCTTCTTTCGTTCTCCCTTACAGAACTGCCACCACGCAATATTCAAAAATATGGACTCTCAAAACTCATAAATTCGAACAAACTGCGTACCCAAAACAATGTAATAAAAAATAATAACCTACCGAACCCTACAAGATTCAGTATGCTAAACCTAACGCGTCATACCCAAAACACTGAAATCCGTCAAGGGTGCCGCTCACCCTTAAATTCCCAAGTAGCGAGCGCAATACGTATTCGGGGGGTGTTTTAGGTTCCAGCAAACCATAGAACGGGAATGAAATTCCGCTGGTCGTTTATAGGGTGGTCGTTTCTTAAATCGGTGGCCGGCCGGCTATTAACGAGTCGTGTAAAACGTTTCCCGAAGGTGAAATTTAGTGTGGTAGTAGGAGGTGGCCAGGCCGACCTGGTCGTTTTAACGCAAAGGACGTATTTCGCGTGTAATTTGGTGTACGCGTGAACGCTGGCCCGCGGCCAGCGATATGTATACGAGAGCTTTCAACGAGATATTCATACGATGCACGATTTTATAGTGGACAGCAGGTCCGGCGAGAAACTGGAATTAACCAGGGTCGACAGGAGGCAAATGGGAGCTTATCTTTGCATAGCCAGAAACGAAGTGCCACCGGCAGTCAGCAAGAGGGTCTATCTGAGGGTGAACTGTGAGTACTTTCGAGCACTCGATTAATACTTTACTCGATACGCGAAACTTCAAGAAAATCTTCCACCCCCGTCGAGATAATTAAGCGACGTTTAGCGAGACCCCGACTGCTGATATCGAGTCGACAAATTTCATCCCAACTGTTTATCCGTTGTGATTTTTACAAGAGTAATCGAACCTTGGCCAAATATTAGTCGACGTTTTAAGACCAGCAAAAGTATCACTGGCAGCTGAGATGTCCATATTACTCATCGTGGAAGGCTTCGATGAGAGAAAGCTAAATACTTTTAAAACGAATCGAGAAAACATGGCTATCCGAGCGTAACTTCTCCTACAAACTGACGAATAATTACGAAGCCAGAAAGAGGACAAGTTGTCCAAATCTGTTCGACGTTACAAACAATCCCCTTTGGTGTAACTTATAACGATAGGCCGGGATAACGAGAAAGATGGAGTCTTCAACTTCTTCCTTGTTTATTAAATATGGAAAATGCCCAATGTCTCGATTCTACTTGATGGGGCCCTCTCTGGATAATAAACTTGTTTCCCTAAAGTATTTTCTTATTCCTTTCGTTTCCAACCTGCAAGTAGAACCAAACTTTTCACACCATGAACTGCCAGGTCTCGTGCAGTGTAACGAATCGTGTCTTCCTTCTGTCGATGTAAAAATCAGTTATTAACTTCCCATTTTTAAATCGGAACTCTTTCGCGTGTAATTTGTAACGGTAATTAGAAGAAAGCTCCAAAATTGAGAGATGCATCAATGGGACTGATAAATGTAGTTGCCCAGGGCTGCTGCCACGAATTCGCGGAAAGGATAATGGGTAGAATCATGCGAACCGAATGTAACCGTCAGAGGCATTATTCTCAGCTGCTAATGGTAATTAGCAGACCACGGATCAATGTCCAAAACTAAATGCTATCGACGAAAATTTCAGTCCCACCTAGCGCGAAGGTTCCCAACCAACTGTTAAGCTCCCCTCTGGACACGGACGTGTCCCTAATTTGCTTGATCGAAGCTTATCCAAAGACGATTAACTTGTGGACCAGGAGGGAACAGGTTATCATGAGCGGGTATGTACACGCAGTCCTCGATATTTGATTCCGAGTGCCACTACAAGATCGAAACACTGTCCCTTTTAAATTCACGTTATTTAAATACTTCGATACCTAAGAAAACTGTATTAATAAAAGTATGCCTATATTGTATTGATATATTAGGTTGCCCCAAAAGTTTCTTTCGTTTTATTAACACGTTGACTGCCAGACAAATATTCTTTAAAATTTCTACTAAGTTTCTACTCGTCGTATATTTACTCTTGTAATTTCATCAAAATTCATGAATTTGGTTTAAATTCATTTCCTTCTGATGCTTGACATTCGGAATTAATTTCGTTAGTTCTTCAGTGGAAAGTCCACCACATGTGGGTGACATGGCGATCAACGTGTTAATAAGTAATACATACACAATGTTTTATGTTCTATGTTCCACGACTGAATTGTGTACATTTTGATCCATTACTGTTACAACATCAAACTTTTGGGAAAACCAAATATAATTCCTTCCAAGAATTTTGTTCGAAGTTCGAACTCTTATCAGTGCGGTCTCTCAGGCCTTAGTTCGGAAATGTGAATATGTCAGTTATCCTATACGCAGAAGAAGGTCAAAATTGTTGGAAAAGATAGCGTTTCGAACGTCGGACGACGAAATCGATTTCGTACGTATTCTGGACGCTAAACGTACGCAATGTGTCAACACAGGGGTAGATACGAAATCAACGAACGGGGACACCCGGACGAGGAATGGAAGACAACGATCGAGCTGAAGATAAGGCGCTTGGAGCAAACGGATTTAGGAGAGTACACGTGTTCGGCGTCCTCAAGCATGGGGCGAGCCGAGGCCACCCTTAGAGTGTACGGTAAGTCGACGTCCACTATCAACGACCGCGTCATTTCTCGACGCTGTGGCATTCGCTCGTTTGGATATCCCGTTCCGATTCTGGTTACATAAAATTTCTGACACTTCGATATTCGCTTCCACACGTTATTTCTCATCGTCTATCCAACCGTCGAATAACCAATCTCATCGCGTCGCTCGAAGAGGTTCAACCACCGTTCCATTTAGCGCGTTGCCAGTTTTTCAGATATTTTACATTCTTTATACGAGACATCTCTGCATCCCAAATTTATAGTAAAGCGTCATCCTCTTAGGCAAGGCTTCTTAAACTATGGATCGCGACCGCAAACGTGGCGCTTAGTAAAATCTTGCGGTTGCGAGATTTTTATCTAAAAAATGCAGTTGTGATGAGAAATAGGGTATATAATTTTTGTACGTTTTTAAACAAATTCTAAAATAATACATCATTACGAAATACGTACGTATCTTTATTTTACGTTTTCTGGATTGCGAAGAAAGTCACAATCATGAATGGGATCGCGAATGGAAAAAAGTTTAAGAAGCCCTGCCTCTAAGGTGTGATACAAAGAAAGATAAAAACCCCTATCAGGGAGCATTCCGACATCATCGTGCGAAACAATAGGTACGAATTCTGTTGCAGAGATCGAACGCGCGACATCCCCAACTCGCGCGACGTCCGCGAATTGGAAGAAGTTGGGCAAAGGGAAGTCGAAGTACGCGCAAGTGACGACGAGCAATCGAGCGTTCTACCAGATGAGCACACCCGCGATGCAGAAGAGTACCGCGAGGATCGCGTACAACAAGTACGCGACCACCTCCACCACGATGAACCCACGGGCGCATTTTAACAAGGACGAGGACAGTTTCCAGGACTCCGGGAACCCTAGCGCGAAGAGTTCCGCCGAGGCCGGAACCACGGCCGTTCGAATCTACGGCTTTTGTTTGCTAGTTTTCCTCGGTCTACGATAAATGTATGCCACGTTCTCCGTGATTCTATCGATAAAGAAAAAGATACCCAAAACGAAAAAATGGCGCGAGTAGAGCGACGAAAATATTTCACTCGACTCGCGCGCGAACGAAACGGAGGAGTTCTACATCTAGGCTGGTAAACATTGCAGCTTCGAACATTTCCGAACAAAACGATCGAGAGAGGGAATCCCGAACTTGAAAGTTTTAATTGAACTTAAAGGAACGGTAAGGGTGGAAGGTCTACCGAGGACGATGGGAAGTTCTTACCGCGTTTCACGGGACGATGAAGTAAAAGTACTTGAACGGCGACGATACAGCGTGCGAATCGATCAAGCGTCGCGGCGGAACGCTGTTTGCGAATTTTAAAAGAGAAACAAACGCTTACGGTGGTATTTTTTATGAGCCTTTTGCCCAAAAGGGGTTTTCCGAGCGCGGGGGTGACAGAGTGCTCGTGAGCGTAATGAGTTGTTTAGTTGGACTGAATGTTTGTAACGTTGTCGAATATTTTTTTAACAACGTATGAATAATGAACGTGGGACGATGGGTTACATCGAATCGAGGGACTGTCTCGTTTCTCGTTCGCGGAGAGTTTTGGTAGGTGTTACGGTGTAATTTTTATATTGTTAGCGTCGAGAAAGCCTTACCGCATATGCAGGGTGTCTGTCTCAAGTGGGCCACCAGTGTCATTCACGAGAGCATCGTTCGGGAATGATGGAATGAAGAGGGGAATTGATATACCGTCGACCGATTAACTCGCGTTTACGATATTATTTCAGCAATGGCAGTGGCGATCCAATTAAAATGAACATCCGTTAACGTATCGTTACGTCGTAATAATTATTGTCAACGATTAATTAAGTACGTGTATAACGTTTTCCACAAGGACTCGCGGCACGTCGTGAATCGGCCCACCTTAAGCAACTATTCGATTACATTCGAACGCAGACAAATAATTAGCATACTAATTTGTACATACGGGGTAAGACGATCGGTGGCGCGTTACACTTTCACGAGGTACCTCGAGACGAATGTTCCATCTGAACATGCTTAAATTCACTTTTTAACGAAGCAACAAAACGGATAGAACAATGTAACGCATACATCAGTCTAATAAATATTTTTACTGTTTCATTTGAACCTGGAATATCTTGTATACTCAGCAATTATTTTTAAACATTGACTTTGGGGACCTCTTTGATGAGGGAAGATTTCTCGTCTTCCCTAGGGTTAACGCGCCACTGAATAAGGTATCTTTGTTTAACGGTACGATAAGGAAGGGAACCAAGATCGCAAGTGGCATCTCAAGGAACGTAAACACGTCATATCTAAGTCAGATTCATATCCGTAGGACGTATAGTACCGTACTGTATATTTTAGGGAGATACTAGACCTTACTTTCGTTACTTTACGTATTTTTTTAATCACTCGTAGGCGAATAATGTACCTCATATGCCAACGATTAAACGAGACCACAGCATAAATATAATTGGCGTGGTTGACTGCGAGGAATCCGCTAACTTGTTTTTAGATGATAGATTCTACCGAGCCCCGGAGAACGTTTATGGCTGAAGCGAACAATTACTTGGTCGTTTAACGCGTAACGCTTATTTTTCAATTGACATGTATCCATACGTATACGAAACAAATAGCACCTTATTTTCTTAGCATAGGAATCATTTACGGTGCAATTATATACCTTGAGTAAACTTTTTCTTTCAGGGAATCGACAATAAGCGTTCCTAATAGGTTGTGGTTTGTATGTGTTTCGTAATGTTCCTCGCAACACCGCATACCGTATATTCCTCTGTAATCAGAATCAGTGTGCAAAATAGTGTTAGTAAAAAGATTCGAGGTTTCTCGCGTAAATAAAATTTTCAAAGAGAGGAACACGAAGCTTTCTATGACACCTATTGCGCGTCGTCACGAATGTCTTCTACTACAGAATACAGGTTTTAGTCGCAGTGTGTGGTTTATCGTCATTGGAATAGTAGCATATCCGCGAAATAAACAAAAAATAAAAAAAATAAAAAATAAACACATATGTCAAATAGACCTATTTAACAAATACTGTATATCGTAAAACACTGCTCAATATAACGTCACTACAATAACTATATCAAAAGAATGTTGTTGTTTATAGAAAAAAAAAAAATATATATTACAAGAATATGGAGAAAATGTGCTCAAATTGGATAATTATATAGCTTTGAAGAAAACAACGTGTTGACAAATAAAACATACCATGCAAGTAGCGCATACGTGTATCATTTCTGTCTATATTTCTTTACTTATTTTATGTTTACATTTGTGGATTTTTGGAAGGGACACAAATATAACCATTTACCATAAAGAAACTTGCTTACATTTTATTTGTAAAAAAACCTGCCTCATTTACAACCAACAACATTGTAACAGCCAATGTGCTCCTTACCATTTGTTTATGTGTGCTTTACGACCAGAACAGAATATTTAGAGCCATGAAAACGCAACCCACTGCTACGTACGGACTCTTTCTTTCGCCGATTCTAGCACACTTCCAAAATGTACCCTGGATGCTAGTGAATTAAATATCATTAGTATTTTAAACTTTCCATACCTTACACACGCTATTCTATATGGTTTCGCGCATACCCAACTTTTCCCATTCGCTTGTCCAATAAACTAGGCACGATGGCTTTGACATAGGTGCAGGTACATATTAGTAACAGGAATACCGTTACCAGACTCTGTAAATTAAATATGGCGGACTGCATGCCACCAAAAATGCTAATTAATAAAAATTCATCAAACCAACGTAGATTTTTCTACGTATTGTAGAGGTTATAATGCATTCTCGAATTGTTTTCGAACATACGTTCTATTATATAAATGACAACTTATCAGATACAGAAATCATGATCTTACCATTACGATTCGATGACGGTCAGTATAAAAAAATTGGTAAATGTTATAAATAATCAGCCATTCACAATATCACTTGATTAGACGTACATCACAACAGAATTCTGCCTACTGAACTTTACTATGCTATATTGGTTAGTTTTACCGGATTTTAGTGGCGCCATCGATGGGAAAACTCCCAAGTTTGTAGTGGAAGTAGTTCTTATTGTTTCTCTAAGATGACGCCACTAATATATTTTAATAAATTATTCATTACCTTCATAAATGTTCTAATTAATACGATATTTTTCTTTATAACGCTATGATAAATATCCAATTTATAATTTTTATAGATAATTATTTAATTTAGGAATAATTATCGACAATCTAGTTAGTGGCGCCATCGGTGGGAAAATGCACAAGTTTGTAGTGAAAATAGTTCCCACTGTTACTATTAGATGACGCCAACAATATCATTTAGTCAATTATTCTTTTTTTTCATTAATGTCTTAATTAATACAATTTTTCGCTTTATAACACTGCATTATATTAGTTAATATGTCAAATTTATCATTTTTATGAATAAATATTTAAATTAGCATTAATTATCGACTTTTTAGTTGGTGGTGTCATCTAGTAACAATAGAGGGAACTATTTTTTCTACAAACTTGGGCGTTTTTCCGCCAATGGCGCCACTAAAACTAAACAATTCAATATAGCGATACAGTTAGTTTATTACTTCCCATAGCACCCATTTTCTAAATACTTATTATCTGAAGCTATTATCTTATATTTTAACATCATTTTTAACATGATAAAGCCCAGAATCTTCCAACTCCTGCTGTCTTTCCCTTTCTCTTCCATTCCCCATCATATCACTGAACGCTTATAAAGTTCAATGATTCGACATATACTTCTAATTATAATGAGAATAACAGTAATTTTTGTAACTTTTTTATTCATTTATGCTAAATTATATAATTATGTAAACTAGACTAGACGTAGATGACTACACGATACTTGTTCTTATCCAAACACTATTACAATGGGCAAGTACGCAACAGACGAAAAAGTACGAAAAGGAACTAGTGTTTGCCATCGTATGGGATACATTAATTTAAATGCTTCCTGACGTTTTCTTTGTCTTTGCTTCCATTGAATATATGTTGCCTTACATATTAAAATTTATATCAACTTGAAGTATTATCACTAATACTTAATAATTACAATCATTGTTGCATCGAACGTCTACTCTCTCTCTACGAGTGCATCGTCGATGGTGTATTATTTATAAAAGTATTTTTATGAAAAACTTGGCTGCGTTCGATGTATACAGCTTATTCTCGAGTCGCGGGACCGGTGAATGAACAACCTTAAAAACATGTCGTGATCCTTTCGTTTAAATTTGATAAACTGCACGAGATAAAGAAAATCCCTTGTCCGTCTGTATCCTGCAGCCACCGCGTGCAGTAATAAAATGGCTGCTGAGAAACGTCAATACATTTTATACCAATAATAAGCCAACTTTGTAAATAATCGTGGCAAGGCGGATCGTAAAAAGTCGGATGCCGTTCAATTAATACTCTAAGTTTCTTTTTTTTTTCCATAAACGTGTGTGCGTGAAAGGGGTGCGTGTGAACCGAAAATGGCAGAATTTGTGCGTGGAGGTCCGAGCGTGTCGAACAGTGCTAAGGTACGTACGAGGGTATTATTCATCTCGGATTATTCATCCGCTATTGTGTCGTCGGTGAAAAGTCTAAAGAGCTAAATAAGAAGAAAGGGACCGTATCACACGTTCGAGGAGTCGTAATAGCTTGAAAAAACTCCAGCGAGTACCGCAAATTCGGGACTGTTTTTTAAATATTTTCTCGGGAAGGTGTTTTCGGTATCGTTTACGGACAATATATCTCGATCAGTTTGTACAAAAGCGAAAAGAAATGATAAAAGAACGTGGATGTTGGAGAATCATAAGCAGACATCCGCAAATGGTATTTACGTTTTGATAACAGAAATATTTGTTATATTAGAAGCACTGTGAATTTATACTTATCTATGAAAACAGAAGCATTGTTTTCTTTCTTCACCAAGTGTGATAAATTTATCTTCATTATACTTTGTAAACGTATTTAACGTATTTGTATTGGAAAATGTGGTAGAATTTTTGAAACTAGGCAGAGTTTATTATTATTTAATCGCATCTACAGATGGATCACAACAGTAAAGGAGGATCTCCTAGCACTGGTAGCGAGGATGGTGGACAGAATGAATCTATGAATGCAGAAAATGAATTTGATCCTTTTCTTGAAAATATACCAGATGATATTCAAGATACAGAGGAACCTGATAGTGCTAATGCAACTCTGTTAACAGCTCCTCCAGAAAATCAGTGAGACTAAGAATTATGAAATGCTTTAATGCTAGAATTATTTTTGATACAACTTTTACTTATACCTTTAGAATTTAATAAACATCGGATATTCCATACATGGTTGTTTTGTAGGTGGTATCATGGTAGATTAGATAGATTTACAGCAGAGGAAAGACTGTGGGATGCAAATAAAATGGGTAGTTATCTGGTACGTGAAAGTGATAGGAAACCTGGCAGTTATGTTTTGTCTTATTTAGGCAGAACTGGCATTAATCACTTTAGAATCACTGCTGTATGTGGAGATTATTATATCGGTATGATAGGAGTTACTAGAAGTCTGATAAATGGTTGCAATTATAATGTATGTAGGGAATAACAGGAACATATTATTGTAGGTGGCAGACAGTTCAATAGCTTGTCAGACCTTGTTGCATATTATACTCATTGCTCGGATCTTCTAAAGAGAGAAAGACTTATACATCCTACTCCACCCCCTGAACCAGTAAATGATAAAAAACGAATTGTTGCTATACTGCCGTATACAAAAATGCCAGACACAGATGAATTAAGCTTTCAAAAGGGTGACATATTTTTTGTGCACAATGATATGGGGGATGGTTGGCTATGGGTCACTGCTCACAGAACTGGTGAACAGGGGTTAATTTTTCGTGAATTAGTGGAGGATCTAGATGATTCTATTGATCCTAATACTGTCTTCTCTTGGTTTCATCCTAATGTTACCAAAAGTGAAGCTGTTGACATGTTAGTAAAAGCAGGGCCTGGAAGTTTCTTAGTAAGTTATAAGCTGTTATGTTTTCATACTTTATTGGCCAAATATCTTGTTAATTATGACACTTGAAAATATCACACTGTTTTATTATCCAGGTCAGGCCTTCAGACAACAGTCCAGGAGATTATTCACTTTTCTTTCATATAAACAATCAGATACAAAGATTTAGGATTGAGAAAAAGGGAGTGAGATATCTTATGGGTGGCAGAACTTTTGAATGTCTCGATGCTGTTATAAATAGGTACAATGTTTTTTTTCAAATATGGAATGAAAGAAACTTATACACTATTAAGAACATCATGGTTTTAGATACCGAAAAGAACAAATAGTGGAGGGTCATACTTTGGTTCAAGCAATGGTGACTGAACCTGATGGTAGTGTAAGGGTTAATAGAGAGGTGCAACACGCGGAAAAAATATATGCGACTCTGAGAGAGTGCCGCGAACAATCCGGAGCAAAGAAAAATAAAGGAATAAAAATGCAAGGATATTTAGAAAAGAAATCGGAAAAAAACAAGAAATGGAAAGCCCTGTATTTTGTACTTTTAGTAGATGCTACTGATACTCATTTGTATCTATATGACAATCCGAAAAGGACCAAACCTAAAGGTCTTATCGATTTAAGCTGTGCTTATTTGTACCAGGTAGATAAAATTGTTTGGCCAAATAGAGTATCAGTTAACAAACTATGTTATTTTGAAAACGTACATCTAATATTCTAATTATACTAACATTATTAAGAGACTTATATGTGTGGCAAAAGTATCTGTTATATGTAAGGATGGTAACAGCGAAATTATTGTTGAGATTCGTCTTGAAATATAGGTTTTTCTAGGTTCATGAAAGCGTGTTTGATAGGCCTCATTGCTTTCAATTAGTTGAGCGTGCTTTACCATGTTTGGCCACGATAACATATTTGGCTGCTCCAAATTCAGAAAATGCTTTAGACTGGATTAATGCCTTGAAACCATTATGTGTGTCACAACTTACTCGTGCTCCGAAAGTTGCTCGTCTCCGTGAATTGCGTTCATTGCATCTTCATATTTTAGACGCACATAGACTTCCATATAAGCTAGTACCAAACCCATTCATCATAGTGGCTCTAAATAATGTAAAGGTTGCTCGCACGAAAGTTAAGACTGGATCACACCTAACTTGGGATGAAGAATTCATTCTAGAGTAAGTATCGCGAGCGACTGATAAAAGTATTAACACGTCTCGCTTGAACACTGTTCATTTGTTCTTATGGTAAACTATTCAACAGGGACGTGCCACCCGATGTCATGTCGTTTTCCTTAACGTTGTACAATAAAGGTAAACGTAGTAAAGATACAGAGGTTGCAGAATTGACTGTTGAATTAGCGAGTTTGACCAATGGAGAAGAGATGGACGAATGGTATCCATTGTCAGGACTTACTCCAATAGGAGAATGGGGCGTGTTACGTTTACGTATAAGGTACATTTGATGTTGGTGAAACTATTTACACTTTATATCTAGAACTTACAACTATCATTAAATTTTTTACGCGTTTGCGACATTGTAGGTATCGGCACGATCTAGCGATGCCACCGGAAGAGTACAGTCCATTACAACAATTGCTATTAGACCCAGAATTACACGTTGTTAGAGCATTAGCGGATGTGTGTCATTTGGACAGAGTGCCACTTGCAACTAGTTTACTTAGAATATTTAGGTATAAACAAAAATGTATAATATTATTTCATTTTTAATGGTATGATAATAACATACACGACATGTCTTTAGGCACGAAAGAAAAGAAGCTGACCTGCTGCGCTCGTTAAACCAAGCCGAAGTACGTTCATTTACATGTATATCTCTCGAAAGAAAAGTAATTAAATAAATGCTGCCTCTGTTATAAATATTTAATACATTATTTAGGTGGACAAAGAAGATGAAACGCCAACCTTGTTTAGAGCTGCTAGCCTTACGACTACTTTAATGGATTTATACATGAAATCAGTTTGTACCTCGTTTTTAAAAGCCGCTTTACGCGACACTATAGTAAAATTGATCGAAAGTAAGCAAAGCTGTGAATTGAATCCAACAAAAATGGATTCTCCAGAGGATGCATGCAGTAACGCAGAATTTTTACTACAGGTAAAGAAAATAATTACTGAATCATTCTGAATATTGTTAACTTAAAATCAGTGTTATTTTAGGTCTTGGATGAAGTAACGTTGAGCATTTTCACGAGTCCCGACTCTTGTCCAAGGACTCTCAGATATATTTGTGGATGTTTGCAAAGAGCAGTTGTTGCCAAATGGCCACACGAAAGACTAGTCAGAACGCGAGTAGTCAGTGGATTTATATTTTTACGCCTACTCTGCCCTGCCATATTAAAGCCTAGGTCATTTAATTTAATAGCTGAACCACCACCTCCAGCTGCTGCAAGGTAGGGTAGGTTTATATTAAACGTAAGAAATTTTCTGGTTGCATCAATTATTTTTTAATTATTATTAAATCGGTTTATAGATCTTTAGTAATGGTCGCAAAGTGTTTACAAAATTTGGCTAATTTAGTAGAATTCGGTGGTAAAGAACCGTATATGGAAGTAGTGAATCCATTCATTCTTAAGAACAAAGAACGAATGGTTGTATTTCTCGATCAGTTATCCGTAAGTATCAGTCTTTATCTTAGATTGCGTGTGATAAAATTCGAATTAAAAATAATTTCAATTCGGTACGTTATAGAACGTAACTGAGAAACCAGAGTCTGAAGGTGCAGATCCAAGGAACAAGAGTTGTGTATCGGATACAGCAAGAGATTTGGCGACGTTGCATCACATTTGTGTTTCGCATTTAAAAGAACTTCAGGTTCTCTCGAAGACGCAGGTGGGATTTCGGGCTATTGGCTTACAAATATTTCGAATTATATCATTCGTTATTGTATGAAAAATAAATTAACACATATTTTGTTTTCAGTCAACAATTAAACAGTTAGTGACAGTGACCGAAATGTTAAGCAAACATAAACAAAAATACATGGAAATGATACGGTAGTGCAAGAACTATTCGCTATGAACAATGCCAAACGTAACAAAACAATTCATAAGATTTCACGACAGATACGCAGTAGTATTTAATATTAATTATTAAGTGATTTAAGTAATTAAACGTACAGACTGACGTGCCATATATATTATTGTATACACTCAAGCCTACATTTACCATTTCGTATGTAATTAGAAGATAGTTTATACGTATAGTAACAACACATGACAGTGATATAGTGACATACAGAATCATATAGACGTATAACGATTTTATATTTACCTAGGTGCTCAAAAATAAATGCAAATTAAACCAAGTACATTGTGTATATATGTTTCCTTCTCCCCTAAAAAATTTTGGTAATTCTTAATAACAATATTAACATATGCTTATTTTATTTGAAACGGATAAAAAAAACTACTATATTTTTTATACGTATAAATGTTTTTTTATTAATTTGAATTATTTTATAAACTATTTCTTACATTTTTATCGTTGTAGTAATTTTACCATGCCATTGAATGACAAATATTATGTAAAATTTATAACCCTATTTAGTTAATAATACAAAGATTCTTAGAAAATCTCTTAACAAAAATATACATTAATTTTTCGGTAAAAAAAATTAAGATGCATTCGCACAATAATATTTAACACATTCAAAAAGTGTATTATAGTATTCATCGGTGTATAAATTATACTAGTAATTCATATGTTTATGATGTAAACGAGTATCGAATTATTGATTCCTTTTATGTTGATTTTAAAAACAAGTGCTATGCAAGCACGAAAATTCTTTAAGGAAAAGTAATGCTATCAGAAGTATATGTTGATGTTTTGAATCACGGATTGAATAGGAGAATTAAACAAATGATTAGTGAAATATGCGCTTAATTTTCATGATAGTTCGAACCTAATTGGATATGACACAGATATATAAACTTTGATTTAAAAATGCCATTTTCAACACGTTGACCATCGTTGGACAAAATGATCCCCGACACCGCTGATATTACTAACGTCTTCGCGAGATAACGTATAAGCGGGATCCGGTGATAAATTGTCAGCTATGAGTCAACACGTACACGGCAGTCAACGTGTTAATTATATTATATTATATTAATTATATTTTAGGACCGTTTGATTCGGATAATGTGACTTTTTTGTTACATAAACATAAACCATCGTAAGAAGACAACTAGTTAGTGAAAGATTTGTCAATTGCTCCTTTGATATTATAAAACTAAACAGCATAGATGGCCTACAATTAATGTTTAAAAACAATCATTCAAAACAGAATGAATATAAAGAACACTTTTTATATCGAGTTTTATTACAAATATAAACTACCTAACAACACCTATGCTGTGCAATTTTATATATATGTACACATTTTCAATATTTGAAAAAGCTAGAATTACAAATTTATGCGTTTAAATGTACGAGAATATATGCAAATTGTACTATTTAGATTATTTAGCAAAGTATTTAACCCTTGATTGTTCAAAATTTAGGACTAGGTGTAATTTATGTGTTTCTATCATTTTCAATTTACAGAGTAGTACTCTTTACAACAGCAATGGCGTCAGAAGAAAATAAAATTTCTCAATGGGGAATTAAATTTGGATTAAGAATTCAATCTACCAATTAACCATTGACTTATTTAATAAGATAGAGAAAACAGAGGACAAAAACCATCATACAAACACAAACGATACAAAACGATAATTCGTGTATAAGCAAGTTTTAATTAATGTAAAGGGAAAATTATTAAGTTCAGGTTCCTTGTTAAAACTTGAAACTTCCAAGCACCCAAATAATTTATGACGGTAAAATTGGTTCTCAAATTCTCTTCTGGTTTATGCACACTCATCATTCATTTAGCATGGTATGATGAAGTTCATTTCCATAATGCAGTAAAAAAGAAAAAGGTAAAATTGGGGGCTCTCTGGCCTTATTATCAAATACTTAGGCCAAAAGATTCAGATTTAGATGCATGACAAGTATCTAGTTACAGCTTTTATAGTTTACAAAATGATCTTCTGTGAACAAGATCTGTCAAATAATACCAGACTTTTCAGAAAGTAAAATGGAGGAAAGTGTAGGTAACAGGTGCCAATTATGAAAAAAAAAAAAAAAAAAAAAATTAGATATATATTGGATGATGGAAGTTCAGCTTATTGGAATGTTAAAATTGCTTGGAAAAGATAAAGACTGTCGAAATGACTTTACAAAATGTATTTACAATTGCAGCTTATGTAAGAAAAATTAAGTTTGTATAGTTTATTAGAGATTCATATCTCATTCAAGAGATGGCATTATTGTCTGAAAAAATATTAAAGAATATAAGTATAATAAAAGCTAAGTTTACAAGTGATATTTGTAATGTCTTAGCATTATATATACTTTGTACTATAATTTATTGAAATTAAATTAGGATAATAATATGAAAAACAGTGAGAAATGAAATACACAAATATAATAAAATGCAATATATTTTTAATGTAATAATGCTAGAGATACATTTAGACATTCAAATATCAATGTAAACTTTTACTTTTTCGCACAATATAATCCTTAAATTATATTTTTTTATAACAAAGTGAGTTTTCAACTCTACATTGAAACAACAATGATTGATAAAACAATTCTTATATTTGTATAATGATCCAAACAAGTTCATTTCTACCAATTTTTACTTAATTGTAAACATAGAAACTAATTACTCATTGTGTCATTTTGTATATGTGTAAGAAGTTACTCCATTCTCTATACAAAAAATATCAAGTATATGTTTTCAATTGCACTCGAAAAGGAAACACGAACAAACCTATGTATTCTTAAATTGGTAAATAGGCGTTTATGTCAAAATTGCATACTTAATCACAGTAATATCTAACTAGCATGGCATGCTTAAGATTATTGAATCACAGCACAAAATGAGTTATCCATACTCTATTTCTTTGAGTTTTATGGCTTACATTTTCTTTTTTGGGGAAATAGAATTTTTTGTTATGCACAGTGAAGTATAAAAGTAAACATTAAAGATATATTTAATCATTAAATTAAATATACGTTTAAAATCATAAACTACTCAAATAAAAAGAGTTGTCAAATTTTATGAGTTATATGTTTCTTCTTCCATCCATAATACCTAAAACTACGCAATTCTTTTACTGGATAATACTTTTTTCGTACATTAAATTAAAAGTAATTAACAATAAAACAAGTGGATGGATCAAAAAAATTATGATTCAGACTATTCTATGCAATCAAGGGTTAAAATTATTCTGCTAATGGAATATTAAGAGTTATATGGCAGACTGTTGAACAAACAATGTGTTTATGAAATTGAGTTTCAAGAGTAAAAATGTATGCAATATTACACTATCACATACTTTGTTTTTTTCCCTCCCAATTGTGTAGAAAAAATTGTGCTTGTAAATTATTACAATAGTCTATAGAGTAAGCTGCAAAAATGTGCGTACAATGAATATAATCTAATGCTTTTTACAATTTACTTTTGTATTAATGTATTGAACGAGAGAATTAATATTTAGCGATTCAAAGCAAACAGCATCGATGTCTCCTACGGCTCGAAGAGATACGTTTCTTTTTCTCTTTACCTTTATGTTCTTTGTCTTTCCGTATTTCTCTCACCTATAATTTATTAAATTCCACTCCACAGTAAAAACATATGATACTACACAAATTGTAGCTTTGTATACAGCTAGCTTAAACTAATTTTTACTGGATACTTCAAATTTGTAAGCAGTTATGTATTATACATGTTTACTTACCAAAGTATAAAAAGCATCATCTACTCCCATTCTAGTCTTTGCAGAAGTTTCAACAAAAGGCACACCGTATTGACGGGCAATTTCTCTCGCTTGCGTCATGTTTACTGCCCAAGATTGCTGGAGATCACATTTATTTCCTACTAGTACCATTGGTACTTCTTCTGCATCCTTTACTCTTTTTATTTGTTCCCTATATGTTCCTATATCCTGTAATATTAAATCCATACAAGACCTTCTTTATTAAATTCTTCTACAACAATTATATAGTCAGTAACAAAGGAATTTTAAGAAACAATAACAAATGTACATACTTCAAAACTTTTAGCTGAATTCACAGCAAACACTAATAAAAATCCTTCTCCGGTTCTCATGTACTGGTCTCTCATCGCGCTATATTCTTCTTGACCAGCTGTATCTAATATGTCTAAAAGGCATGTTTCTCCATCTATGACTACCTACATACAAAATGTCAGAATTGTTAATCTGAAGTAATCCTTGGTAATATAAAAGATAAATATAAAAACTTACTTGTTTCCTATAAGAGTCTTCTATAGTTGGATCGTATTCGTCTACAAAATGATTTTGTATCAGTTGAATAGTCAGCGCAGACTTGCCAACACCTCCAGCTCCCACAACAACGAGCTTATATTCTGCCATTATGTAATATTTATTCCAATGTGAAGTAAAGCTTTTAATGCAAAGCTACAGATTGCTTCTTCGTCTACAAAATAAAAATTTATTTTGACAATTTTTTATTGAAACAAATTCTATGGTTAATTAAACAGTGCGAACGCTAAATGTGGGGTTAACGAACACATTCATCCCTCCGTCAATATTTAGTTTTTGTTGAAGAAAATATGAGAAAAGCTTGGCGTGTTTTCACTAACTTCGAGCAACGATTCTTTGTTGAGTCACTCATTAGAATCGTTATAATAGATTAATGCTCTGATTAGATTGTTACGAGCAATACGTGTTCTACGAGGTAGAATTTGCATAGAGTTCGCGTAGATTACAACGCGGTTGGTCATCAAGTCATTTATATTTTTAATTCGTCGAAGAACAACGCAGGTTCTCGATGCTATCGCACAGTAACTTAAAAACTTAAAAACAGTACGACGAGAGCAAGCAAGCACACCCAATAATATTACGATGGAAACATGTGGTTAGACATCGTTGACGATTAAAGAGAATTCCAAAATAATTTAGAGTACACATCTTTCGTAGCACTATTCAACCACAATAGAGAGAGCATTCGATGAATATTTCTTACTTTAAGTTCTTCTAATTACCGATGTTAAACGGGAGGTGTGTTTTCGAGAGGACATTGAACAAATGCGTAATGCTATCGGCGAGAAAATAAACGTCGTTCCAGCACGAGATCTTTTCCGTTTTCGTACATGTCCTTACTAAAATTCAAAAGTTCATTTCAGGAACGCGAACCGGCTTAAAACCACACTTTTCGACTTTAACTATTACGAATTAATATAGTCACTGGAGCAACCATCTGGAAAGAAGCACCAGTGCTGCCAATCTACGAAAGACTCGATGACACATCTCGAGGGAGTGGAACAACAAGGGGTAACAAGATTCGGATTATATTAAAAATGATAAAGACGTTCAATGAATCGTAATTTAATTATAGTTTACGACTTAAGTTCGTTTTATGGTATCAGATTTATCTACAACGAAGCTGCACTTGAAAAAAAGAGAATTATGAAGATTGATGAAGATCACCCCGTAAAACAGAGAACCAATACTGGTCGTTTCCAGAAGTGGAGTTGGATTCGGTCAGATTCAGTCGCGTATATTTATCGCAAGAAAAATTGTTATTACAATGGTGAACAAACTATTGTAGTATGTATTGTAAGCCATTAGTATTTCGAGTGAAATGGATAAAAATTCAGTGGTGACTCGTCGATCGTTTACCCGTCTAATTACAGAAGCAGGACGATCAACTTGATCATTTTCGGGTATGAACGAACGTACTGTTTCTGAAAATAATCGCAATTCGTTTGCAAGAGTATGCCATTACTTATCTAATCATCAACATCTCTTACTGTTGGTAGGTTTTATTCTGTTTTAAATTACGGAAGCATCAGTGTGGCCGACGGATAGCAAGTTATCGTCATTCCGTGTTTCGCCAATAGGTGCGCGTCAATCTACCATAGTGAGAATACTTCACACTTTTTTCCTAGATGGCACGCCATGTTCTTCGCAGTTTGTCGTTCAGATTTCTGGAAGCTCACTACCGACGTCTCTAATTTCCACATTTGCTGATAGTTCCAAAATTAAGGTAATTGCATTGATTTGATCTAAACGTAAAAATCATCACCTAGCCGCTAAGAATAACTTCTACGTGTTTCCCGTAGCTTTCCACTTGCGTGGCTAGTAGCAACTTGCTACCCCCGTAGCACACGAAACTTTCTCTTTGTACATTTGTCGCAAAAATTTATATCCACGCTAGTACGTTTCGAAATTGTGCCTAGTCAAACGAGTTCAGTAGAAACTCGTCGCGATTGTACGTTCTCGTTCGTTTTTTAATTAAATCATTCGAACAAATATTCCATGTACCGAAACTGCCTCATAACTCCGTATTACGCGAATTGCGCGGGAAACTCGCCATATTGTGTCCGTTGTTACTTCGTGTTACGTACGAACGATGCGTATTTGCAGCACATGTTGTGTTAACGTACAGAGACCTTGTTAGCGGTTCGTTTGATTGTTCGAACGTGGATGACACGGAAATAATGAAGCATCGGTGGTACTTTCATACGGGCGCCGTTAATGAGTTTTACATTCGCGTCGTGTAGGTTGACCGACACGGGCAATGAAATTGTTACTTGCAATTAACGATCGCTCTCAACGATCATCGTTATCAAGCCAAAGTGATTATTGCGTTGCTCCAACTGGTCTCGCCGTCTCCTTTATTTTCAAATGTTTTATTCAGACCAGGGCCGGCGCAAGGCAGGTTCAGCGCGTTCGCCTGAACCCGGTTTTTAAAAGGCCCGCGTTTTAAAAGGCCCGCATTTTAAAAGGCCCCGCGGTCTACGAAAATTACTGAATTAAAAGGTACCGATTTTGATTAACTTTTTACAGACTGATGATACCATTAACAGATGGAAGCAATTTTTGCTGAGATGCAAGACATTTTTTTAGTAGCGATGATTAAATTGAAAGGAGTGACAAAAATCATCAAAGTATTATAATCATCTTATAAAAAATATATAGCATTTGTAAATAAATAATTCCTCGTTGTAAAATTCAAGTGTAGGATTTGAATGTGAATTCAGCCCCCGCAAAATTTTTGAACCCGGTCCTGATTCAGACTATAGCAAATTCGTATCGTACCATGAATAAATAAACACTGTCTCGAAAGAAAATAAGATCCGTTGGCGTAGTTGTACCGGCGAGTCTCTCCTCCTAAGCTTTTTTCTGCGCTTTGGAGACAGGCATACGAGCGCGAATTCCTCGGGCGTTGCAGGTTCGAACGCGTGCAAGTAATTTGAGGCTCTATTGCGGAAAAGCTCGGTAATTTTACGGGTTTTCCACCGAGGCGAATTAAGATTTGCATAACGTCGGCGCGCCGCTCGGACCTAAGTGTCGAGAAATGCAAATGTAGCCTCGCGCTTAGAACCACCCCCCCCCCTTTCTTTCCCCCCATGCCGAAGGAGCCCAGGAGGCGAGCTATAAGGGCTGAGAATAGGGCTCTCCCCTATAATACTACGCGAGCGTAAGATCTGGACTTCCTACGACCGAAATTTCAGCGTCGGCGCCTGGTCCACGTGGAAACGAAAGAACCTTCTACCTCTTCCACCCCCCCCCCCTTTCACCCTTTCACAGTCCCTACGTAGCTTCCGTTCCTTTCGTTTCGCCCTCTGGGAGACTCGGTTCCCTCTCCGGAGGGAAAATTGGGACGAAATTCGATCCTTTTTACGAGTCGGTACAATCTTGGCTTTATTGTTTGTAGTCTACTTTGCAGGGAATCGCGTTCACGCGACGAGACAAGGGGCCCGGGAGGGGGGGGGGAGGAAGGGGGTCTAAAGTAACACGGAACGCCGTCTTTACGACGAAATTATGATAATTTAAATTGGTCGCCTCGACTGAGAAAGTTTCTAATAAACTGGCGTGTATTCTTGTTTTTCAATATTAAGTCGAAAGCGATATGCAAATTACACGTCGTAACTCGTTTAATGAAATGAGATTGAAACGAAGAAATTCTTATAATGTTATGTTTCCTTTGCAGAATGTTAAGTGTCTGTTGGATTGGTCGACGACTGATGCGCATACAATCGCTACTCCGTAGCGTGACACCGTAAAACGCAAGTTTAATCTGATCGCGTTCACTCGCTGCCCCTTACCCTCGTGTTTCAGCAAAACTGACGTAGGTCTAAAATTGATTTGAAAGTGGACTACCTTAAAGTAAAGACGAGGAAAAATCTTTATCTTAGTAATAACGTTGAGTATTGTCGAGTAAGAATATTGTTGCACTTGGTAAGGGGATCTACCTTGGTTTAGAAACAGCTGTATTATTTTTATATTGTGAGTTTATTCCGAGGGATTTATCCTTCGTGATTGAAACGAAAAATAGATCGAGTTCGTATCCTTAACCCATTGCTGTCTTCACTGTACCGAAATCAGAAGGACTGCAACGGGTTAACAGTTCCAGAGTAAAAAAATTTACGAAGTAGCAGGGAAAAGCTGAAATCTCTGTGTGTTTGAATTTTGAATAGCACGAAGTGTAATATAACTCCGTAATTATTTGCGTTTCTCAGGCACGCAGCAAGGCCTCGAAGTTTGCATACGTACCGCGAAAACAAGTTTTTCCGAGCACGTAGCCCACTTGGCGTATCACGCGTTCCAGGAAAGGTCGAAAGCGAAACAAATAAATTCCAAAAAGTAGAGGGCTTCGGGGAGAAGAGAGACCCGCTCCTTCCTTATTGTACACATGTGTATCGCCTGCAGGCTAGTCAAACCGTCAATCGAGCATCAGTGTATTCGCGGCACGCGGCGGAATCAGTAGGAGCCGTATTTTCCGCGAGAAATCTCGTGTTCGGATAAAAGTCTCGGTTATCGCGCGGCTCGACCGAACCGGACTCGCTCGATGAACACAACGAACCGAATCGAATGGGATCGAGTTACTTTTCCTTTCCCTTCAGGTTCGAGTTTCTTCAGAACTCTGCTCTCGCACACACAGATTCGCGGACGTGTTCATCCCTTGCTGCGGAGATTTTTCGCCTTTAGAAAACAGACTCACCGCGAGCTGTGCTGTTAGCGCTGCGATTCCTCAGGATTCCTCAATTTTCGTAAGTCTTTTAATCGAATTTTTAATGTTCTTAAGGGGTGCCTCTACTTTAGAACTTTAAAGGGAGGTGAATTCATTTCTTGAACACCGTCGACTATAGCTTCTTCAAAACTTTGATTAATCCGTGATGAGAACTGTAGTTTTTTGTTTTTACAAAGAAATATGTATACGAAAGGGGACTCCTTAGTGTCCGATCAAATTTTATTAGGCCATTGCGAGTATCGATAGCATCGATTCTCACTGCGATGCTAACTATGTATTTAAATTTTCCTCAATTGTACAAGGACGATCGTTTAAAGTACAAGCAAATGCTTTCACGATCGAATTCATCGCGTGGTTTCTGGCAGAACCATCGGCTCTGTTTGCGCATAATAAATATTTATAAGGCGGAATAGAGACAGGGGCGAGGCGAGTAGGTCGATCCCGCTTTTCGATCGGTTCTCGGCCAACTGCTGCTTATTTTGGTTTTCCACTTCGGCCATTGACTCTCGGTGGCCGCAGAGGAAGAGGCACATCTGGTTTAAAGCTTTACGAAATTAATGTTTCAATCGGATTAAGGTGTATCACCTACGAATAGCTTCGTAAATAAACGTGTAAAATCTGAAAGAGCTGTTAAGCGTCTATTTTTAGCATTTCAAACCAGAACTCGCGAGGAATCATCTATTTGTTGAGTTTGCGAACCAGAGGTTTTCTCAAACGTTCACGTAGCTATTTTGACGGAAACTCGTCTCTCTTTACGGTGGTTCGGGCTTTAAGAGCGTACTTTGTTTTACGGTCGTTAGCGCGAAAGCAGCTTACTTGGCAGCGATACTCGCACGAAACGATCGACTGCGAAATGTCCGGAAACAGGGACCTTCGCGTTATACACCGATCTCCGCCTCTATATTTCCGATTACGAGTTCCCAGTTAATCGGAGGGAACTCTCAATCACCGCCTTACCGTAATTATAGCAATCTTGACCGTGTTCGCGTTATACGCCATCGATCGAGGAAACGACGTGGATTGCCCGTCGTAACTCTAGAACGAATCTCCGAATGTTCTTTCGAACTAGTCGGTTTAATCGTTCGCGGATTAACCGAATCCATTCGATTGGCTCGAGCTGCGCGAAGGTTACGTGATCTCGGTCTAATTTCGAGCGACCGTCGCGATAGCGGCTCAATAATTGGCAGTAATCGCGGCATTGACCATTCGAATACTATCAGGGCCATCTAAAATCAAGATTGGTGTATTCTGCGGTTAGGAAGCGTTTGACTGACTCGAATATAGTCGGGATGTGTTAACGCTGATACGTACTGTGTCGATTGCAGATTTCTGGACCGAGGATTGCAGATCCCGGACATCGAGGTCGACTGCTGACCCTATCGCGGAGTAGATCGGAGGACCTGGACCTCGCAGTTGGAGGAGTCACGTATCTACACGAGGAGGACAGGAGGAGGACAGGGGGAAGAAGGTAAGTTCTCTTATGCTCCTATAATCATTTCGCGATTTGGTAATAGGATTGTAACAGTTAACATTTTGCTATCAGATTATTTAGAAGGAGTCAATAATTTCAATCAAGACTTATGAGCGTTAACACTGAACCTACCGCGACCATTTTCAAACTTTTCCATACAGTTCTTGTATGCAACGTATGAAGTATATTCGATTGTTTCATGCATTATATAATTTAGTGCCACGTGAGATATCTTTGCGTTTAATTGAAGACAGTATCTTTGAGACTAGTCTTTTGTCCAAATATGGTAGAAATATCCAAAAATGAAACGTCGATAGGTTTAATGTTAACGTCTGCACACTGTTACTGGTTGCTTTAAAAGTCCTCTTTTACCAAATTTAGTATTGCAAACGAACCAGCAACACAGCTTATATTAAAAAGTCTATCAATGGACTCTCGCGGGTTGAGCGTTAAACAACGAAGGAGTAGTTTTATCGTTGCCGGACTCGCGAACGAGTCCATTCATAAAACCGAAATCGCGGTCTTCCTCCGCGTAGGGTTTACAGCTATTTCTTTTTTTGCGTTTGTCGAGCGCATAGCTGGTGGCGCGATGGCGATTTGCCTTTCCCCCTTGTCCTCCTTGTTCTCCGGGTTCTATCCTGAGCTTAAAGTCCAAATGGAAGTGCTTACTCGTAGATACCTGTGATTCATTGAAGCGGACGGAACTTAAAGCCGGGCTTAAAAAGACTCCCGCGGCTGCCACCGCGGCTGACAGTGGCCCCGAAAACGTTTAATACCGGCGCGGTGGCGGGTCCGTATGCCTTCGGTGCGCGCTATGATTTATCGTTTCCCAAGACGCACAAGAATATAACAGTAGTGATTTATCGTTCCATTATTCGGTCTCTCAGTTGCCCTTGCGCTCACGACAAAGTGCCGAGCGCTTCAGCCTCGCGCTAAACTCGTAAAGCCCTGAAGAGGCCCTATACTCTGCCAGACATCCACCCCCCTCGTCGAGATAAATATCGATTTCCTAAATACAATCTTTAGAGAAACAAGGACATCTTGGCCAGTGATGGGCAAAACCCTAGGTTTCGAATAAATCTGAAGTTTGCCGATATGTTTGTCTCGTTTCCTCTTTTGAACATTTTCCAGAGAAAGAAAGAGATAAACACATCGGCAAACTTCAGATTTATTCGAAGCCTAGGGTTTTGCCTGTCTCTGATCTTCGCGATGGCGTAGAACTGAGACTGATTAGACCAATCGTTAGCAGCGAATGTAATCAATTATTTTCCATCGCATAGAATTCGGTACATTGTTCGAAGTGGGAAGCATCGGTGGTTGAATTCTTGCCAAACCATGGCCCATACGGAACGAAATCGTAAAGTAAATAGGTTCGCAACTCGCGACTCCGCCCGATAAATACGAACCGACCGCTTTAACTTCCGCGTTGCATGCAATTACGTTCCTGCAGGACCAATCTTATTTCTTCCTTTTAACCTCGAGCTTGCACCTCCTCTTCCTCCTTGACCCGGCCGTCTGCTTCGGTACAATTATGGGCGGAGATGGGCCGAGTTCAGGCAGAGGAATGTAATTTCGCGGCGCCTTAAATTCAATCTCGAGCGTGTTCTTTAGGTCTTGGTTGGGCAAAATTTGCCTCACGGCCTTCAGCGAGAGGGTCTCCTCGTCGGGCTCCTTCGGCGGGGCTTGCTGGTCCGGTATCACGTGAACTTTTGTGCAGCCTGGCTTGCATTTCACGCCTGTAACACGAAACTCGGTGTACTCGTTCCACCTTCGTATACTTTAGGTCGTAAAAGGAGGACCGGAAATTTTTGAAAGACTTGGTTCGAGGGGGTGAGAAGATACTCAAGTAGGGGGTGTTGTCTCTTGGTTTGGAAGGTGGCGAAGAGGACGTTTCATTAGAATTTTCATTTATTAACCCTTTGCACTCAAGAGGTGACTCTCAGTCACCATTAGGTTTCACGGAGCAAATCTACAATACCCAAAGTTTTTAGGTTCAATTTTTTCGGAGCTCGACTTATTCCAATATCTCGATAGTTTAAAACTCGTAGCAATAGAATATTAAGAAACATCTCGGGTTTCTGGTAGATACCAGAAAAAAAGCCTCGAATGCAAAGGGTTAATACTGAACCCACCAACGTTTATACCTACTTCTATCAGAATCGATTAAACGACTGATCTTAAAGACGCTTTTCCCAATCGGATGTAAAAATATTCACGTGGTATTAAATTGAATAATACGTGAAACGGCTGAACTCTAGTTTGGGTCACCAAAAATTATTCACTCGTTTTTATACGATTTAGTAACTTTTGATGCCCAGAATTTATGAATCTAAGTTTTAATGTTAGGAATCCAACGGTTTCAAAGTTATGCGTATGTAAAGTTGAGCACTTTTTTTAAAATAGTAAAACACGTTACGAAAGTACTGTCTGAGTAGGTTTGGAGTCTAATAGTCAACATGGCGTCGCCTTAACCTGCGAAATACGCCAAAAGTGTTCAACTTTAGATATAGTATCAATAACTTTTA